AAAGATGCCCCTAACAAAGTTAGCTTAAGTGAAGTTTGAAATTACGTGGAAGGTTCAGTGAACTATCCTGACTGGTATAGAGTAGCAAAAAGGGGGAAGAGATGGGAACAATTGCCTTTGGTGGCAGTCCTGACCAGAAGTCTCTAATGCATGCTGATCAAAAGGGCTCACTGTTGTTTGGGCGGGACAGATATTTTCAGGCTCCTCTGCTAACAAAGAATCTTGCCCTGACAAGTAAGCCTCTCTTCTTGTGGAGGGCCTAGGGCAGGAATGTTGTAGGACCTGGGGAATCTTGCAGCTAGAATGGAGTTGAGAGATGATCTCCAATCTCTTGTTTTTTAACAGAAGAAGAAACTAAGCTGAGTCACCTATCTGGTTAGTGACAGAATTAAGACCAAATAGAACCCAGGTTATCAGTCTGGTAACCAGTCTTTCCACTACAGCCCAAAGTTAAATTTTGCCACAGTGGGAAGGTTTGGGACCACCCATGCTTACCTTCTTTCTCGGATGTTGAAATGAAAAATTTGGGGGTCTGCATCTTGTGGCTTAAATCCTTAAACCAGAAACACTGGTTTATGGATGGAAGAAAAAATAATCCTCTCCCTCCCATGTCTCTTTTTAGAGATTATGAGCCTGAGGGAAATGCCAACCGAGGCCCTTACTAGGTCTCTTTAAGGTAGAAACAGAGCTCCTTGGCTCAAGGATTACACCAGCATATGTATTCCAGCAGAGTCTACAAGGTTGATGCCACTCCCACTGGTGGGGTAGGAGGGGACAGGCCATTCATATCAGCACTATCCTTTCTTACATGCTTTTGTCAGATAAACCTTGAAATTATCTCCGTTTCCAATACAGAATCTACAACTCTTCTGAGAAGGAGGCAAATCAAACAGCTGGGAATTCAGAGCCTTCTTTAGGCAGGGTCATGACACCAACAAAGAAAGGGAGTCCCTCTGCCTGTAGCATTGTCTACACCCACAGAGCTCCACATTCTTATTTGTTCTTGTAGAGTAAAATGAGCCCAGAAATACCTGCCCTACAATAATTTGTCTTCATTTTTCCTTGGTTATTTTGTGTGTATGTTGAAGGAAAAAAGATGGCCAGTTTGGGAGAAAATAATTTCTTTGTGGATGTTAGTAGGAGGTAAAAGGTGGGATAATGTTCCTCCCACACTGGGAAGTACAAGCTGCAGATTTAAACTAGGAGAAAATAAAGAAGAAATGTTCAGTTGCATTTTCACTGGAAAAAAAGTCAGGACTTCTTTCTGAGCCAAGTCCCAAAACATGCTTTGCCCTTAACCTACTAAGAGGAAGGGGATTGCCCAGAAGCTACAACTGAACTACCTGCATTCAGTGGGCAACAAAGACATTATATTCTGTGCTTGAGACATCAGCATCTATTGACCAGGGCAAGATATAATTCCGACCCTGCCAAATTGAGGGCAGCTCCCACCACCTGGGACCCACCCTAGAAGCTCCAGTGAGATCTATCCTGCTTCCCAATGGCTACACTATTTTCTTATTTTATTTTTTTAAATTTTCTCCTTTTAAGACTTTGTTTTTATCTCATGAGCCACTCTTCTGACTATTCTCATGATCCAGGGAGCTGTCTGGATTCTCTGGCTTTCGGGTGTTCAGGCAAGGCTGAAGTTCCCTACACCACAAAGCAATATTAACTGAACTACTGACAGACCAATGAGGAGATACTTCTACCAAACAAGAAGCTACAATTTCAACGATTGTTTGATTTGGACTTGTCCTGGTCTTGTCCTCAGAATCACAGTTATCTTAGGTGGAATTATTAGGTAGTCAGACACCTGTTTTTAATGCTTCCTAAGAATATCAACATGTACCTTCACACAGATAAAGTGAACAAATAGCAGTAAGGGGAAACAGCAGGCCTCAATTTTTTTTATTATACATTTTTTAAATGTTTATTTATTTTTGAGAGAGAGAGAGAGCATGAGCAGGGGAGAGCAGAGAGAGAGAG